AGGTGTCAGTTCCTCAGACTCTCTCCCTCAACCCAAAATTTAAGCATGTCCTGTTGCACCGAAGAGAGGGTTTTTCACCTTGCATCTCCCTTGTTACTTTCCAGTCTAATCACAGTGCACCACTGACATCATGGTTCTTCATCTTTTATGTTGATCCATGGTGCTGAGAATGAATGAGAACATTTCTACACGATGGTGCAAAGTTTAATTTTAACAGGGCATATTGGAGAGACTCAGCCCATAGTCCTGGGCCAAAGCTGGTTTCAGGAACAAGACCCCAAACTGGGCTTCCCAAGCATTGTTCTTACCAAATGATGTGCCAGGAGCTCAAGGCAAGTAAGCCAAGATGAGAATGCCAGGTAATCTAATGGACACTGCATTGGCACTAGAATAGGATGGGGAACCCTTGGCCTTCCAGCCATTGCTGAACCACAACTTCATGCTTTATTTTAAAATAAACAGAGTTCCCTGCCTCTGATTCATTTTTTTTTTTTGCATTTTTATTAAATATATTTTAATGCTATATTGTGATATTAGTGGGTTGTGAAGCACCTTACATAGACAGTAGAAGAGCAGGATGGAACTTTCTGTATAAATAGAGGGGTTTGAGAGAAAAAATACATATCCAATTTAATTTATTTATATATATAAATAAATATATGCTCCTTTTTGGTTCCAGTGCTGCTCACAGGAATAATAAAAACAGTAAAAATCCAAATGTAAAAAACAAATTAACAAAATACTAAAATAATACTAAAATGTGAACATCATAATAATAATTAATAAATAAACATGTGAACTAAACCATGTGGAAGCAGGCAGTCCTTTAGATATCCCAGGCCCAAACTGTAGAGGGCTTTAAAGTTGACAACAGCACTTTGAATTAGACCTGGAAACATATGAAAGGCCAGTAGCATTGAAAACTCCAAGTAATGGGCCCCAAACAGCCCCACAGAGTGCATACAGCCCAACCTGGTTGCAACCAAAGCACAGGTGAGAGTGTGCAGATCAGTTTTCTATAGGCAGGGCCACAGATCACAGACCTGCCAGAGCTGTGCACAAACATGCCTGGATATAACCACAATCTAACCTTCCAGGAAAAACTTCAGGAATCAGTATCAGACTGCAAACCTCTAACCATGGTACCTCCATCTTGTCAAGATTATATCTGTTCGCCGGCTCACACCCAGCCTTCACACACCACTTAAGGATTTCAGCTGTCCCTGCTTTCTGATGGAAAGGAGAGAGTTGTTTCATCCACATGTTTATGACACAACACTGCAGTCCCCAGATAACGTCTCCTAGTTGTTTCATACAAATGTGAAATAGCAGAGGGAACAAGATGAAGCCCTCTGGTACAAGGGTATGAACAGTTATTTCCTAGCACCACCTTCTGGAATGCACCTTCCCATGTAGGACTGGAACTAACACACAAAAAGGGCCACTTGGGCCCAGTTCAGCAAGAGACTTATCGACCAGGATGAGCAAGGTCAGTCTCAGATGGGAAACAAGATTGTACTGGGTCTAGATAATTCCTATGATCCAAGACTACCCAAGCTATCCACACCGTGCCTTGCAAAGAAGGAGGAGATTAGAAACCGGTCTATAATTGTCCAGGCTGAAGGGATAGTAGCTAGTTCAAGGTCACTTGAATCTTGCTGTTCTATAAGGAAGCATTTTCTACCTCCAACACCCATTTGCTGTTCCCCTTCTGGCAGTCTTAATCTACCAAGGTGGGCAATGGTTGAGAGGACAAATGTCTGGCTTCAAACTTCAAAGGCTGTTGTCGGCTTCCTCAGGTTGCACAAGTTGAAAAGTATTCATAATAACTGGAAAAGTCTTCGTAATAGCAGAACAAGTAGATACTTAAGAAGCATTGCCAGACTCGGTGATTAGCTTGTAGTCCATATCAGAACAAATATGAACAATTTTTTCCACAAAGTGTTATGCAAACTGTGCATAGTGGGCTGATGCTGCTTCCTTTCTACTCTCGTAGAAGATAGAATAATACAGGAGAGAAACACTAGCTGTTCCCATGATGTCTGGTGACTCATCTCACCAAAGAATTGCCTAAATATTTCAACCAAGAATGTACATTTTAACATTTGCTTGTTTATCTTTTATTTTATTTGCACTGAGGAAAAATTCATAAGCTTCTCCAATTTTATTGTCAGAGTCTCTCATTCCACAAATATTACCATTTTCAAAATTTAAGAGAGTCTGCCCATCAAACAGTACATTTGGCAGGTGGGCTGTAGAATAGATACACATTTGGCATGTGCTACCAACTTTAACACCAAAACCGAAAATAAGTCACCTATTAAATACATACAGCTGAAGGGTATGCTGTGCAATTGATTTATTCACCTGTTAGCTGTAATTGATTTGTTCACCTTTTAGCTCTTTCTCATGCCCCCATCCCCAAGACAGCATAAAAAAGCAACCCAACTTCAAAAGTTTGTGGGTCATGTAATGTGTTCTTCTCTGGCTTCTTTAAAACATCGTGATCAAATCAAGTATACTTGGTGAAGTAAGACCTGCTGCTAAAATTAACCAAAAAAAATATGATTTGTTGTTATACCCCTCTACTAGCAAACTTGGTAGTCCTCCTATATAAATCAGCAGGGCACAGTTGATAAGGCTTGAAAATGTGGACAAGGTGCTTGTCCACTTGTTCTGGTAACCTCCAGGTTAGACTACTGTAATGTGTGGTATAGGAGGCTGCCTTTGAAGACCGTAGAGAATATGACAGTTAAGTATGGCAAGAATGCATGAACCGGTTCTGGCCTGACTGCACTGGCTGAAAATTTGTTTCCAAGCCCAATTCAAAGTGCTGATTTCGATCTTTAAAGCCTTACGTTGCTTTGAACTCCTGTATCTAAAGGATTGCCTCTCCCCATATTAATCTGCATTAAAGGAAGGTACAGAACAGGGTTGATTATTCCTGCGTCCGAAGGAGAGTCTGAAGGACCAGTCAGAGAAGCATGGAGACATTGCTAGCAGGTGTCTGTTGGGGTTCACAGGGCAATAAGGTAGGGAGGTCAAGCAGTAGGTGAAGCCAGAGCCAATGACAGGCATGGCCTTTCTCTCTCTCCCCTTCTGAGTCCTATAAGGACAACACTGAGACTAAGGAGAAGAAGGCTGACAGGTGGTGTCACCCATTAGACTGACTGTAAGAAGGCAGGCAGGGCCGGGCAGACTGAGGGCAGGCTGAGCTTGGTGGGGCAGTGCCCCATTCACCCTAATGGACCAGCCTTCATGGCATGGAGGACCACATTTGATCCCCAGGTCTGAAGTTGACTGATCTAGCAGATTAATCCATGCTTAGCTGGAAGCCCTTTTTCTTAGATGGAAGAATCATCTTCTAAGGTTAGAAGATGCCAAGTTCGATATACAGCTGACAGTTGTAACTAACTACATAGGCACCTTTTCCTTAGTTGATACAACTGACTTGCTTGAAAAGTTTTGTACAGATTTGCCAGCATTTCCTAATGCTAAAATAAACACTCCTTTACCACATGTTTTCAGTTCTATTTCTTTGCTGACCTTGTCAAATCAAGCATGTTATTCACAATATGTTTCTACTTCTAGGTCTTTCCTTTTCCACACTTGTCAGTAAATTATTTCTCTTAATATTGATAAAGTATCTGAAAACTAGTTAATATCAAGACACGTATGGAGATAGTACATCATAATGATTTTACCTTAATCTAAACCAAGAATGGGAAACCTGTGGACTTCCCGATGTTCTTGGGCTATATTTCCTACTAGTCGCAGCCAGCAGGGCTACTGGTCAAGGGTGATAGGAGTTGTAGTCCAGTAACATCTGGAGGATCAAAGGTTCCCCACCCCAACTGAGACAAAAAAGTACCAATAATAGAATAATATTAAATTAAAAACAGGAGGAATAGAAGGCCGTAAAACAAAACAAAACAAAAACCAATTAGAGACTGTCTGCTTGTAAAATAATTGAATCTTAAACTGTTGTTAAAGGAAGGGCAACATTTTTCTTGAAGGGTTGGTGAGTTTTTTCCAGAGCGTCAAGCAGCATTCCAAGTTTTTAGCAGTTTCCAGTATTTGTAAATAAGCAGCGAGGGAGGGGTTAAGCACCTGCCTGTCCACTCAGAGTCACTGCTCCTAAATTGATTTTCATTTTAACAAACAAGAACAAATGCCAGAAGTAGTCAGATCAAAGAGCCAAGAAAGCTTGATAAAAGTGCTGCTGCATTATCCATTAACCATGCTGTTGACCCTATCAGGTGGCTGACTACTGTGAGCCAGGGAAATCCTTCATGACCTTGTTCTTACTTCTGAGCCAATGTAGCTTCTTAAACGGCAATGGCTGCCAGCCAAGCATTTTGTCATTAAGAGCCAGTGAAGTGTAGGACTTGTGTGTGTTAAACCTGGACTAGGCAGAACCAGGTCTAACTCTCCAGCCACCTGTGAAGGTATATGGTGACCTTGGACAAGTCACACTCACAGCCTAGTCAACCTCACAGTTGTGTTCAGAAAAAAAATCTGTACATACAAATGTGTTCGTTTTCTCTGAGGTTTCAGCCTGGACTTTTTGTGCCTTGTGTTCTTGGTGAAGGGGTGTGCTTTTGTGAGCATGAGGCTGGACTTTCAGGGTGTTTGGCTGGATTGTCATGTCCCTGGCCTTGAACAGCAGCTAGGACTTGGACAAAGAGCTAATTGGATCCAAGTCATCAGTGCCACCTGAAAAGCCTAGCAGCCATGAGTCCCTGGAACTTTCATTCCTGAAACAGACCTACTTTATCCCACCCCCACCCATACTAAAGACAACTCTTCTTCAGTCCAAAACCCCTGTGGGATTGAGGTGTACCCCTCCACTCACTTCTCAGTTCCCAGAGGCTGTGAAACAGGTGTATGGAGCACACTAGAATATAAGTAATGGGAAGGCAATTGAGTGCTCAATTGCAGACTGCCTCGTTAAGGATCTCCCCTCTTTAGTGAGTGAGGGTGGGGTATTTGGGAGAGGTAGTCAGATAACTCGGTTGGTAGATCATGAGTCTCTTAATCCCAGGGTCATGGGTTCGAGCCCCACATTGGGTAAAAGATTCCTGCATTGCTGGTGGTTGGACTAAATGATCTTTGCTTGGATCCAGTGATCTGTCCATGGTTCTGCAAGCCTTGTATCCTAGCGTTCTTCAGACCCCTGACCTGCATCTGCATTCTGTCTGTCTCTGTGTGTGTAGCTGTCAGCTATTCTTGCCCTCCAGGATTCTAATTGTTGGACTGGATTGTCTTCTTCATCAATCTCAGTTCTCCCCAGCATTCCAGTCTGCTGACTAAGCCTCCTGCCTCTCTTGCTGTCCATGGGTTCTTCCTTCTCCAAGACAAGGAAAAAAATGGGGAAGTGCTTGACTTCTGTAAAGCAGCCAAATTCTGCATCCTTTATGAAGGTTCTAGTGTCCTGTTTGGCAAAAACATAGGTGCTTAGTGTGTGGCTAGGATCTTGAGTTGTTCTGTAACTCACCTGCTAGCTATGCTTAGAATCCATAAAAATCCTGAGACCTGTATTTCTGATGGACAAACTTCCAAGAACGTCATTTTCTGATGACAAGTTATGGGAGTCAGCAGTCTTCAGTAGGATACTATGTTCAAGAGTCCTGCTTACCATATTCTGCACCCCACAGGTTATTGGACATCAGATTTTATTGAAAAGCTTTAATGTGTGTATCCGGAGTTTGACATATTAATGTCAAAAATTCAGATATTAGAAGGAGATTCTTGCAGTTTGAGTGCTGTGGATCACCTGGTAGCTGCTAGTTTACCCTCTTTATGAGAAATGTCTATCCTGCAAAGAGACCGTTGATGTGGGATCTCTGGATTTCGCTTTCATTGATGTTATGCAAAAACATGTTGCTTTGGATATGATCACTGTGCCTGTGGTGGGGAGCAAAATGGGTATGTCCATCTAGTGCACCCCACTCCCCAAAAAGCAGATTCCATTTCTTTCTCCATCCCCCTCTCTCTCTTAATTCGTTTTAATTGTGGAAGCTCCTTGTATGTCTGTATTTTTCCCAGGATTAACAGCCAAATCCAGAGTGCTCCATTTTGTAAATCATCTTATTTCTACTAAACATCCGCTCCCCTGAAAGGACTCTGCAGAATCCCATAAAACATTATTTATCTGTGTGCGTTAGCCACACGCCACTGTAATTTCCAAAATAAATGCTGGGTGTAAATTGTTGTTTATGTCAGAGCCTGACTGTCTTTATGAGAAACAAAAGTGAGAATGGGAAATCTTCACAGGTTTTTTATTTCTTCCGCTGAAGCCTCTCCTGCACGAAGAGAGGGGGGGATAGAGTGTGCACGCTTGGTGGAGTGCTATAATGAAAAGCTATAAAGACTAGCAACTGAAAACCCATGTATTAGGGAATTGCCTCTTTATAGGATGGCTGCCTTTTGAAACGGGGACCCCTGATTTTCATAATAGCACAGTGAATTAACATTAGTTTGCACATATTTAAAATCACCCACTAAAAAAACAGAGCCTTGTGTGGCACCTTAAAGACTGGTAAATTTATTATAAGCTTACATGGACTGGAGTCCACTTCCTCAGCCTTCAAGCACAAGTACATCTGATGAAGTGGACTCCAGCCCATAGGAAGTTTATGCCATAATAAATTTGTTAGTCTTTAAGGCAGAGGTGGGGAACTTGGCTTTCCAGAAGTTGCTGGAATTATCGTGCAAACTTTCCACATCTGAATTTGCTTAGAGATGTTCAAAACTATATTTTTCTATATTTGGTTTTCATCTGTGTGTTTTTTTCAATATTTCCAAATATGGCTGCTATCTATTTCAGGGATTTTAGAAAAAAACAGCTGTACAAATGTACCTTAAATTTATTGCCTAAAAATTCCACAGTGATTTAATTTTGTAAGCGTCCTCAAAGTCAAATTTCAAAAGCAATATTTGATGATGTTCGAGATTCAGAGTTGAATTGAAGTCCATAAATCAAAATGTATGTGAATTTGTTTCAGGTATACTTTCTCTTCCACTTTTGCCATGGTTTTTTATTTTATTTTTAAGATAATGATTCTTGGCTCTCTTCAGGCATTATAATTCCTTATATGAGTAGCATTGAGGGGGGAGGGGGCAACAAGGATGAGCACATTAAGCTTGCAACCCAGCCATTGCCCTCATCAAGCCTCTCCATAAGGGAGTGTGAGTATTTCAAGTAGGGAGACTAGACTAGAACAGGAAGCAGTTCACCCTCCAACTTATGGTTGGGTGAAGATGATAATGATGGGAGTGGAGGTAGCATGCTCATTTTTGCTCCTCCCCAATATTTTAAATCATGATAAAAGTAGAATGTCTGAACAGGGCTGTGGAAATGCAGGAAGTAGTGCAGGAATTTTCATACCCTGTGCTATTTCACAATTTTGTAAAGGCCCTTTGCATTTCATTCTTTAAAGTTCTTTTTGGGTTAATCTCTTCCCTAAGGCATTGTTTCAGTATTTATTAAGCCTTTTAAAAATGGGGAACAAGGAAGCCTACTTCCTTCCTTGACATTAATGCCCCATCTCCACAGAACCTTAAACTTTTTTTGCAGGATGTATGATTATTGCTTAAGCGCTACCTTAAAAAGAAAACGGGGTGGGGAAAGGGAGACAGACTTTCTCCCAAGAGCAAGATTCTCTCTACTGTTCAGCAAGGATATGTTTGCTTTCTCCTTTTTATTTAACAACATGGTGCTATTGCAGAAACAAGGCTTTATGATCATGGGGGTGCATTATTCCTAAGAAGTGATCATTTGTACAGCACCCCTGTTTCTAGAATTCTCATCAGGAAGAGAATCTGACTGTACAAAAGCAGTCTTGAATGCCCCAGTACTTGGTTAGAGAGGAGGCAAAGATAGTCTAAAGTGACTTTATTTTTAGTGTTTGTTGAAATTTTGCCAGAGTCCTGAATTTTTTTAGTACAGGCAACCCCCATTTTAGGTGTGACCGATATATGTGCAATTGTGCATACATGCACAGCCCTAAACCCGCAAGCGTCATAAAAGATGTCACTAAGAGGCTAGAAGGGGTGGAGCATGGATGGGGCGGGAAAGGAACGGGGTGTTTCAATTGCACATGATTTCACACAAGCGCACAATGACCCGGAATGCAACCCTCACACAAATCAGGGGTTGCCTGCACTGCATTTCTAGCAAAAATCACAACTGCCCAAAGGTTCAATTTTGTAAATGATTGTCAGCGTGTTCAAGCACTGCTCAGGCACCACTGGAAAGATTTTTCAAGATCTTAGCCATGGAGGAGAGGGGCACCCTCTAGTAACCGACTTCCTCTCTCAGTCAAGTTGGAATGCTGAAATTTATTGGATCACTTATTATAGATTTCCCCCTCAGCATCTCAAACCGCTGCCCTTTTGGCTAGGATGGCCACACAACCCAATATATATGTATAAAACAAAAGGTCAAAATTCTGTTTAAGAAAGTAGCTCCAGCACAGTGGTGACCATTATGTTATCTACAGGAAGTTGCCTTTGGTAATCTGCTTTTGAAACAAGTGTCTTTTTATTCTCACCAGTACCCGCCTGTTGCTATTATTGGAGAGTTTTTACTAGTCTATTTTTTCTGAGGTTTCTAACAAGGCTCAGCTAGAGGCAGCCATATAAACAGGCAAAGTGCCTTAGGTGGCAATTCTGGGGTATGATTAAGGGCAGCAGAGTGTCCCGCAACCCACAGAGCACAATACACCAGTTTATTTTCTTTCCTGGCTGCCATTCATTTCAACAGGGGGTGCACAAGAGAATTTTCAAGTGGTCTGTATCACATCACTTTGTGTGCAGATTGGAGTTTGCCATTTGGATTTTCCACTTCAGATACCAAAATACATGCAATGTACCATAGGATTGGGACGCGGGTGGTGCTGTGGGTTAAACCACAGAGCCTAGGACTTGCCGATCAGAAGGTCGGCAGTTCGAATCCCCACGACAGGGTGAGCTCCCGTTGCTCGGTCCCTGCTCCTGCCAACCTAGCAGTTCGAAAGCACGTCAAAGTGCAAGTAGATAAATAGGTACCGCTCCGGCGGGAAGGTAAATGGCGTTTCCATGTGCTGCTCTGGTTCGCCAGAAGCAGCTTAGTCATGCTGGCCACATGACCCGGAAGCTGTACGCCGGCTCCCTTGGCCAATAAAGCGAGATGAGCGCTGCAACCCCAGAGTCGGTCACGACTGGACCTAATGGTCAGGGGTCCCTTTACCTTTACCTTTACCATAGGATTGATTTCAACCAGGACCTAACTTTGGACTATTGAAGTAAATTTTTTTTTAAAAAAAGTTTCCCTCTGCACGGAGTGAGTGCTTTCCCCTGATGCTCAGACTGTTGTCTGGCATGGAAACAGATACTGGATCCAAACCCTGGGTCCTAAGCCCTGGGTCCTAAGATCATTTCCTATTGGGCAGCTGTTCTTTACAGAACTTCATTTGACTCTCTGAGGCGGACTTCTTATTGACTTGCTCCCTAGTAATTTGTTTAGGATTGCAGCTATAGGCAGAATTCAACAAGTAGTTCACTTGCACACACCACATCAAAATGAATGTGTGGGGATGTTAGAAACATTCATGTATCTATTATTTTGTGCACTGCTCTAGATTCTTACCAAAATATTCATAAAACTCATACTAAGGTAGTGATGTTTGGGAAGGAAGCAGGGTTGAAGAAACCACATGCTGAAGCACAGGTGCCGGGTCTAGACACCCAATACACATTTACTTTCCATCGTCAAATGGTCCACCTGCAGAACGGTGTAATGATTCGAGTATTGGTCTGAAACAAGGAAGACTTGGATTAAAATTCCTATTCAGCCATAAATTACTAGGATGACCTTGGACCAGTAAGTACCTCTCAGCCTAACCTGCTCTACAGGGTTGTGAAGATAAAATGGGGAGAGGGCAGGCCAAGTGCACTGCTTTCAGATTTTGGGAAGAGGTATGATATTAATGTAATAACTGAATACAGACACATGAAAATATGCTTGACTATCATCTTGCAGCTTCAAGTCAACAGAATCTCAATCACAAGTGGGGACATCCATTGAAATT